TTTATAAGCTCGTATTCCCTTTTTTTTTTTTGGTTGTGTTTTTGGTAAAAGGAGGGTCTCTCTCGTTTTTTCTACAAGGACCCAGTGCCCAAGGCAAGATCCCTCTTTTACGTCCCCTTTTCCTTCTTTTTTTTTTTAAAGCGCTTGGACATACCTCAAAGAACGCGAGTCCAGGTTCAATGTACATGATCGAGTTTTCAATCTCCTCCTCTCCATTCTCCATAGCCGCCGCGATCTCTTCCTCTATCCCCTCCTCCTCCTCCTCTTCCTCCTCCTCCTCGCTCTCTACCTCCGCGATATCAAATACCCTCATGGCCAGGGCATCGTCCTCCTCCCAAACCCCTTCCCAACCCCCCTCCCAACCCCCCTCCCAACCCCCCACCCTCTCATCATCTTCCATATCCACCTCCGCTCCCAAGAAATCTCCATCAAAGCCGGCACTAACCTCCGTTCCCCGAAAGAAACCTTCAAGTCCATCTGCACTACTCCTCTCTCCATAGCCACTAACACCTAACAAAACAGCACCTTCTTCTTCTTCTTCTTCTTCTTCTTCTTCTTCTTCTTCTTCATCATCAATTCGAGCAGCCGCATCGGAATCGGGATCGGGAAGGTGAACCACAGCTTGGCGGGAACCAGCCAGCGTGTCAGCCATCGCCTCATCCTCATACCCTATGTCGTAATCGGCAATCTCAAGAGTATATATTCCATCCTTCTCCTCTTCTTCTTCCTCCTTCTCATCCTCCCCCTCCTCCTCCTCTTCCTCTTCCTTTTCCTCTTCCCCCCCAACCTCCTTTGCTTCATCGTATTCGTCTTCTCCCCTCAGCTTGCCGCCATCGCCAGAAACTTCGCCGCTGATCGGTCTTCTTACTTCTTTGACTACGCTGACGTCACCAACTTCGCCGACTTCGCCACGTGGATTTTCGGCCACACGTGTCACCACACGCCATAGCCCGGGAAGCGAATCTGGTCCATCCAATGATGCCACGTGTTCCATCTCCTCTTTCTTCTCAAAAGAAGAAGAAGAAGAAGAAGAAGGGGAATGAACATCGGTTGAAGGCCGCACGATGCATTTGATCCGGGCATCATAAAGGTACTTAGATCGCTTGCTTCCATCGAGACCCACTGGCTCCATCTTCCCCGTGATTGGCGAATAGGCAGCGCCAACTCCCGCCCAAACACCAGAAACACTACTCGTGAAGGTAGCCCATAATGGAATAGCCGCTCTATCCTGAGCTTGCAAGACAACATGCACCAAAGGCAACATCAGACAGGTCAGGAGCACGTATAATCTCCACAAAGAGAAAATAAATGTTCTCTCTCTCTCTCTCTCTCTCTCTCTCTCTCTCTCTCTCTCTCTCTCTCTCTCTCTCTCTCTCTCTCTCTCTCTCTCTCTCTCTCTCTCTCTCTCACACACACACACACACACACACACACACACACACACACACACACAGAACCAACACACACTCTCTTTCCCCCTGCAGCCAACACTCTGATCAGTCACCAAAGTCTGATCTCTTTTTCAGTGCGTGCGCTAAGACACCCCCAGAAGCCGTTAACGTGTGCCATCATCCAACCCAATCAACCGCTCACAGCATTTGCCAAACGGCAGGAACAAACGGCAGGCCCAAGCGCAAGTGAATGATGATCATCAGCTGGCAAGTACGTACCTCTGGGCCCATTGGAATTTCTTCTTCAGGAATTGCAGCTGACGTCATCAACACCGTCCGCGACGACGACGGATGACTTCGGGAGGCTCGATCTCCGTTCCCGCCAGCTTCCCTCCGTGCATTACCCCTCCTCTCTCCGCCTCTCTCTCGTCCTCTGCCACCCCGCCTTCCTCCCCTAGCGTTGGGTGACCTGCCATTCTTTGCCTTCTCTGCGCCTCCTGGCCCATTACGACGCCTCCCTCTCTCTCCTCCGCCTCCTCCTCCTCCTCCTCCTCCTCCTCCTCCTCCTCTCTTGCCGTCAGTAACTTTCCGCTTACCAGACCCGCTCCCGCTAGCTTGCGAGCGGCATCTTTCACAGATGCCCTTCCTCTCTCGTGACAAAAGCAAGAGACTCCATCGCCCAACATGCAGAAGCGAGAACCCAGGATCTCTCCCTCCGACGCGGGCGACATGGTGTCGGAGATGCCCGGGGACATTCCGCCGATGGCCGGGGACATTCCGCCGATCCCCTTGAACCAGCCTCCTGTCTGCTTCGTCCAGAAATTGCCAACGGAGCTTTGGCGATGGCGGCGATGGCGGGAATGATGGTAGTAGAGTCTTCTTCTTCAACTCCAAGTCTCCCACTGATTGGAGAATCGAGATTTTCCTTGGGCGAAGTGGTCCCCACCACCGAATCCATAGCCTGCTGCTGCCATAGGCCTGCTGCACATGAGCCAGCTGGACACGTGCGCTCCTAGCAACAACTTGCGATCCCGGCTCCGCGCTTGGGAGCAAGCGCGCCCCCACACCAGCCACGCAGCCGCCCACGGCGGAAGCCATTGGGCACCAACGCCACAGTCGGCATAGCCAGACCCGCCGAAGTGCAGGGGTGGGCCAAGCCTCAGGCTTCGGACGATTGGTGGATTGGACGTCACAGTGTACTTCCCCGCTGCTGGCCCAGAGGGAGAAGGGGGAGGGCGGAGGGGGAGGGCCAGGGGGCACACTTTTTCACCCATTCGCCCATCCCTACCACGGCTGCCGCTATTTTCGTTCTTGTTTTTGTTTTTTGTTTTTTTCTTCTCTCAACTTCTTCTGTTTGTTACCTTCCACTACTTACTCCTAAGACTATCTAGAGGGGACCCCTGCAAGCATAGTTTTCCTCTCTCTGTGAAGGGGAGATTTCATGTTGCCCCTTGCCCCTAATGGTTAGGGTATAGGGTTGGGGCCGCCAGTGGGGGTCTGGCTAACACAAAGACCGAGACCTGCCAGTAGCTGTGCCTCCCTTTCTCATCGTCCCCCACCCTTCATCGAGTAGCAGCAGAGGCTATGGCAGCACTCTCCCACACACCACACACAACCCACTCGCGCTCACACTCACACCCGTGTTGGTCATAGACCCCGCTGATACCGATCAGGGGTATCCAGAGGACTATCACAGTCCGTTGGCACTAAGTGCGCCGCAGGCGGTCATGGGGCTTGAACCCACAACCTCCTGAATGCCACTTGCATGCCTACCCAACTGAGCTAGGCCGCTGGATCCATGCCMCTCTTGTCCCTTTTCTTTTCTTCTTTTTTTTTTTTTGGATTCGTGCTTTTTTGCCCCCTTGTTCTTAGGGGATGCTCGTGAAATCCCTCCTACCCTACCTCGATATCCCCCCCTGCTGTCTTCCTCCGACCATATGCGTTTTATCCGAGTAGCCGACAGCAACTTTACTGGGGGCTAGGTCCCGCTTACATGAATTAAGCCATATCGACCATAGATAGCAAAGATCGACGGCCAGAATCTCTTAATATGTGCAAGTGGGACCTCGCCCCGGCACAAGGGGGCGGGTCCAGGCTGAGTAGGCCCACTTCTGTGGACCGTGGCTGAGAGCCTCGGAGAAACAAACGGGAAAAAAATATACCGTTGTACCTTCCCATGTTCTTGCCAAAGATTCACTCCTTTTTGTCTGAATGGGAACAAGGCTCCAGTCTATTCGTGGGGAGCAGCACGTGCTGGGAACCGGGCCCAGCATCCCATATGGAAAATTACATCGAATTTTGAAAATTTGAGATACCGGGGCCATTACCCGGCTTTGGCTAAGAGAAATTTAAGCTACTTAGGAGAATACAACAAACTTCAGAATTGGACAAGATTCAGAAACCGACTCAGGAGCCCCCCATCAATCCTCTTTACCTCTCTCCGGCAAGACTTACTGCAACAGAG